AAAATGAGAGATATATCTTAACACGGATTTAGGTAGATAAAAAAAGAAAGACAACATAAATGAGATATTACAAATGTGTATTTATTAGTACTTATTAGCCTGAATCATTGGTAGTAATACATTATTATTTAGTACTTATTGAAGACAAAATCAAATGAAAAGATTAAACAGACTCAAGGATATACCAATATAATATACTTGACTTATAATGATGAATCCAAAGCAAGATACATGGCTTAATCAAATCACATAATGAAGAATGCATAACTTTTTTCAAGAAATTCCAGCTATTTCCTGAATATATCTATTATATCTTCCGTTTATTCGACCACCATTAAATACTCCTCTCTTATCTTCGATATCAATAACGTTCTCCCAAAATTATTTATAAAACGTTATTGATATGATAATATCTAACAAATATTTCAACCAAATTAGTAGTTTATACTGTATTCTATTCTCAATCTGCAAAATCAAGTGTAACATCAGTTCATACCCGCATTAATCTTGCACATCATTAACAATTTACCATTAGAATGCATCACCTGAGATACTGAAACATTATCGAAGAGAGCATTACAGAAAACAAAACACAGAAACAAACTAACAAAAATAAATATCGATAAAACTTAGGGCATCAGTTACCCATTTACACTATTTCAAATTCATCATCTGCCCAATTCTAATAATCATTAATAATTGATAAAGTTACATCCTAGAATTGAGAAGATATGAAGAAAAAAATCAAGCAAGAGAGGGAAATATTAAAAATGATCAGAACTTGTCGAGATTCATAAATAACATCAAAGAATATAAACGGATTGACAGACATACTAAAATTCATAAGCTTTTCCATTATGGGTGAGAATAACTTTGAATCGTTATGTTTAGAAATAGTTGATGAACTTCTGAACTTTGCCTTTGGACTTCAAGTAACAAATGACTTGTTTGACTTCCAAATGTAAGGAAAGTTGTTTGAAGTTCTGCACCACCAATACAAACATCCTCCAAAATAAACCTCTTTTCAAGATTATGAAACTCATCTACAGTAATTGATGATTTGAAACCCCGTGATTTTTGTCTTGAATCAAACTTACAGTCGAATTCTGGTAAATTCATTAGAGTCAATTTAGTCAAAATGAAAGTAACAGCTCTATAATAATTACTAGAAACAAATTCCAGTAACTGTTAAACCCAAAATAATAATAACATCTGGACAGACTATGATATGTCACTTTCATATACGTACAAAACATATTTCCGAGCATTAAAACACCTTTTTCAACTACTTTCTATAAAATGAATTTCAACAATTTATAAACCAAAACAAAACTATTTGCCTGAACAATTTATTGAATTGTTCATACCAAAACTGAACGCAAAGACAAAGTGAATCTAAAAGAAAAACAATAGAGAAATCTACAAAGGAACGAAGAGTAATAGTGAAGTTGTCACATATCCGCCGTCGAAAACATGTCAATGACGCAGCTGAGCTCCTCTGCTTTTCGTTCTTACATCCACACTGTGAATGGTAGCAAATACGACTGTTTAAAGAGAAGAAAGATGTGGTGATAAGAAATTAAGGTTTAGTGGATGCATAGATGTAGCTTTGAACGGGGACATGAAAAGTTTTACGGAAAATAAGAAAATAGCTTACTTAGGAAGTGGTGGTTTGAATGGGAAGTTGTGAGGCTACATACTATTAATGTGATTTTTCATTGTTCAAAAGCAATGTACATGATAACGTGAAAAATATAAACGATGGTTTAAGAATATGAAATTAGTGTTAATAGTTATTAATAACATTAATAATATAGAATTAAAAAAAGGGTTATAAAATGTAACAAAAATTATGGGCATAACACATCAGCTCCATTTATAATCAAATGAATGTAATTGCAGCACAATACAATTAGTCGTTTTTACCCTTGAAATCAGATTAGATTAAACACTTAATTAGAGAGATTAACTTATAATTACCAGATACTTTATTTTTTATATATATTTATAATAGATTTATTATATTTTCATAGCTCATAAAAATATAAGAGTGATATTTAAGAATAATTTTAAAAATATAAGAGTGATATTTAAGAATAATTTTAAGAAATTTTTCAATGCGTTTTAGTTTGAAGATGTATCCTAACATCTAAATTAATTAGAGTGGCAAATTGGTCCGATTTATTGAGGATGTCCGTTTTATCTGCATTTTTATGTGGAGTAGATCAAGATTTTAAATATGCGCTCTTTATTATGTCAGTCATATTTTTTTCCAGGTTTTTTAGCATGCGCAAACAATTATATAAGTTTTGCAATTTTTAAGCTAAAAAGATGCAGTGTCTGCAAGGTTGTCCCGTCCCGTCCTCATTTTTTTTGGGATAGTCCAAAGTTTTAAGTCACCACCCTTCACAATGTCCAACCCACTCTGCTCTGTTTTTTTGTGAACTTTTGTAGGGTTGACCTAAACGTGGTGGGAAAATCCGTTTGCCAAGCCCAAATTTTCAAGTTTTCAAAAGCCTTTGAGATTTTACATATCACTTTCTACAAATCGAAAATGCATGTCGTTCTTATTCCACCCACTCATACAAATGACTAAGAACCTCATTATCTAGATCGAATATAACCAAGAACTTATGCATGCTAAAAAGATTCACGAATTGATTTCAAAATTTAATTCATAGTGTGCAATTTATGAGTGAGACTCAATAAAAGATAATAAATTAAAGCGTTAAGACAAGTATCAAAATAACCGTATCAGGGGTGTTCCCCTGCATATGACATGCAATCAACTTCCTCTAAGGATATGCAGGTATATATATATATATATATATATATATATATATATATATATATATATATATATATATATATATATATATATATATATATATATATATATATATATATATATATATATATATATTGTAAATGCATCAATAATTAAATTTTTTAACTTAATCATAAAGGAAAAATATGATAGTTCACCATAATAAAGTGTAGTATTCATAAACTTATATCAAACTACATAAATTATCCACCAAATCATAAAAAGTAATATCCAAAACGTTATTCAAAACACAAGAGTTTCATAAATTTTCAAGTTAAAAAAACAAGTATTTTCCATCTTCATCTTCACTTAATCAAATATTCAACCCTTCTACAATATCATATTAATCAATGTCTTCATCTACATATGATAACGATTCTTAAATATTATACGTGAGAAGTAGTTTAATGTGAATAAAATAAAAAAGTGTGGGAGAAGTTTTCATGGGGTAAAATATAAAACGAAAAATACTTATTTTGGTTCCTTAACTATATTATTGGATTCAAATTTGTCCCTTAATTTTTTTCGTGTCACCTTGGTCCATTAATTTTCAAAACGTTTTATTTTAGTCATTTTTGTCTTATTAGCGACAAAAAAACTTTAAAACACGTCATTAATTAGACAAAAAGGTCTAAAATGAAACATTTTGAAAGTTAAGAGACCAATGTGATACCAAAAAAATATTAAAGGACCAAAATGAACTCAAAGGTATAGTTAAATGACCAAAATGAGTATTTTTCCAATGTAAAATAGATTTTTTTAAATTTAACAAAAAAGATAAAATTGTGTCAAAGAATAAAATTCAACGATTTTACATGATTTAACTGATTTTAAAGCGATTTAAATTGTTTAAAATTGTCCCAGGATAGTGTTTTACATTAAAAGAAAAGTCCTTTTTACCTATGATTTAGCACGAAATGATGACCTAACATGAAATTCAGAGTTTAGGTCTTAAATTGCGATTTTAACAACCTTAACCATGAGCGTTCTAAATTCTCCATGGTCATTAAACTAGGGGTGTTCATTGATTCAAGAAAATCCGAACCAAACTAAAATCTAAACAAAACCATTGTATTTAGGTCGAAATGTTTTTAGTTTAGGCAAAAACTAAACCAAACTAATGAAGCATGATTTTAATTGGTTAAAGTAACATATTTCCAAAGTTCTATCCGCGAAATTATCTACCTCAAAACCAATCATATTAATTCATATAATATATATTATCATTATCATAAAAATTAGCATAAGATATTCAAGTTTAAGAAAGAAAAAAACATTATTTATGACATTTATAACCTATATGAAGAAACGGGAAAATTAAAAATTTTATATTATTATAAAAATTATTTAATATAAATTAGATATTCTTTACATATTTTTTTTACACATTTGTTCCTAATGTATTTAATCAAGAGTTTAAACTTACTGTATTTTAAGTATAAAACAATTTTACACATACAACCAATCAGAATTCTTACATTTATCATGTTATTTCAGTATTTTAAAAATAAAAATAATTTTTATTATGATGTATATCTTTCATTAATTGACAATATAAAAATATTTTATATTATCAATACATTTTCTTTTTTCTCTTCAATTAATCATACTTAAACAAATCTGTTGTTTTCCGATTTAATTCAATTTTTATAAGAATAAAATATACAAATACAATTTAAATCGATCCATATATTTTTAATCGATTTAAATATCAAATTCTCAAGCGGTCCCACAAACACCCTATATTAAACATCTGATTCTATCTCTCTTCTCACCACATTACTAGTATATCACATCATTTTTTCTATTTTATCTCCCTTTCAATATGTTATTTCGGTGTATAAAACTATGATACGTATGAAATATTTTTCTAAAAGTAAAGTCATATATTAAAATGATATAAATAAACTCATACATCATTTAATATTGAGATGAGTAGAGATGAAAACATTGCTTTCAAACAAAAAGTAAAGAAGATAACATCATCCTAAAATGCGCCCGCCACCAGTAACATAGTAACTTTAATCATACACAGTCTCTCTATAAACAATCTCTCTTCCCTCCATCCTGTCTCGTACTCCTCTTACCACAACTCAATTCAAAACCTCTCTCTCTCTCTCTCTCTCACTAACTCATTAATCATTATTGCTCTGTTCTGTTCTCTCATTAATCAATGTCTTCTCCCATGTTCCTAGCACTATTCTGTTTCGTACTCTGCTTTTCACTCTCGTTTCAAATCATTCTATTACCCTTAACACACTCGATTTCCAAAACCCGATTCAACAGTACCCACCACCTCCTCAAATCAACCTCAACCCGCTCCACAAAACGCTTCCATCACCAACACAACAACCACCGAACCCAAGTTTCTCTCCCACTTTCTCCAGGTAGTGATTACACACTCTCCTTCAACCTAGGTTCCCACCCTCCACAACTCATAACTCTCTACATGGACACAGGCAGCGACCTCGTCTGGTTCCCTTGTTCCCCCTTCGAATGCATCCTCTGTGAAGGAAAACCACAAACAACAAAACCCGCAAACATCACCAAAGCACACCCTGTTTCCTGTCAATCCCCTGCATGTTCCGCTTCACACGCAACCTTATCTTCTAGCAATCTCTGTGCTATTTCTCGTTGCCCTTTAGACTTCATTGAAACCTCTGATTGTTCTTCTTTCTCTTGTCCACCTTTTTACTACGCTTATGGCGACGGAAGTTTCGTCGCTAATCTCTATCGTCACACACTTTCTCTCTCTTCTCTTCTTTTAAATAACTTCACCTTTGGTTGTGCTCATACCGCCCTCGCTGAACCCACCGGCGTCGCTGGTTTCGGCCGTGGAATTCTCTCTCTCCCTGCTCAGCTTTCTACTCTCTCACCTCATTTGGGTAATCGTTTTTCTTATTGTTTGGTTTCTCATTCCTTCGACGGTGACCGAGTTAAACAACCCAGTCCACTCATTCTCGGTCGTCAAGATACTACCACCGGAGAAGAAGATATTGAGTTTGCCTACACTTCCATGCTTTCGAATCCTAAGCATCCTTATTATTACTGCGTTGGGCTCGCCGGGATATCCGTCGGGAAAAAAACAGTGCCGGCGCCGGAGACTCTCAAAAGGGTTGACGAGAAAGGTAACGGCGGGATGGTTGTTGATTCGGGGACAACGTTTACGATGTTACCGGAGAGTTTTTACAACGCGGTGGTTACTGAGTTTGATAAACGAGTTGGACGAGTTCACAAGCGAGCGAGTGAGGTTGAAACGAAAACGGGTCTTGCTCCGTGTTATTATTTAAACGGATTTTCACAGATACCAACGATGACGTTACATTTTGCTGGGAATAATTCGGGTGTGGTGTTGCCTAGGAAGAATTATTTTTATGAGTTTTTGGACGGTGGAGATGGTGGGAGGGGAAAAAGGACAGTGGGGTGTGTGATGCTGATGAACGGTGGTGATGAAACTGAGTTAGATGGTGGACCTGGAGCTACACTAGGGAATTATCAACAGCAAGGATTTGAGGTAGTGTATGATTTAGCGAAAGAGCGCGTAGGTTTTGCTAAGAAAGAGTGCGCGTTGCTTTGGGATAGTCTTAACAGTGAGAAAAACTAACGTCCACGGTGTTCTGAGTATCACTCGATCATTTTTTGCCTTTGACTGGATTTTCATTCATGGGTCGGATCGGGTCTAATGTAAATGTGAAATAAGGCGGCAAGGTTGGTCTAAGGTCCGTTTTCTTATGCGTACATGAACCAAGTTACCAAGTTGATAGGATATAATTAATTTAATTTAATGCCTGTTTATATTGTAATCGTCATTATTAATTCATTATGTAATTAAAACACTTGGTAAAAAGTGGTATAAATGGAGTAGTTTTTTGTTAATACTTTGGGCATTATTTTTCACATTTTAAACTGTGTTCACAAACTTTTGTGAAAAATTTAAAATATCTCTTAAATATGAAAATGTATTTTCTTATGTGTCAAAACATCATTAAAATTTCGGAACTTCATTTTTTTAAGTTGTTGTGTTTGACATATTAGAAACAGAAAATATAAAAATAAATTAATATTAATTATTATTATGACATACATTATAACATAAATTTAATATTACATTATTAAATGATAGTTGAGTATGTTTTAACATCTTTAAAATATACTCAATCGATCTCGTAAGCTTCACATCTGTTTCTATCAGATCTTTTGTTTCGTACCGATGAGATGCATTCCACATAATTGTTAAATCTACATTTGTCTAGTTCAAACTTGCTGAAATATATATTTTCTTTGTTGTCAATCGAGAGTGAAGGATAATAGAGCTTCAAAACTCTTCGATTGTCAATCGAGGATGAACGATAAGCTATTGGTAGACAAGTGTATGTCTCTCATCTCTTTTACCAATCAAAGCTGAAACAACGTGATAACCGCAATTATTGTCACCCTTAACATCTACCATATGTTCAATGTATTTGTGCATAAGAATTAACATCTCTTCAATGTGTATAATTTTTTAAAATTGCGCAATAGCACAAGCATTAACAATCTTCATTTCACTTGGTCTAGAATTGTACTATCTATATATTTCAAGAAATCCAGATATTGCTCACACACCCTCCTTAAATATATTATAAATTCAACATATAACTCTTTCGTAGAAGAATTTATTATAACATTCTAGGCATCCATTATGATTTCCATTATCACACAATCTTTGATCATTTTCCCATCTTCACCCTTGATTTGTTTGGTTCCTACCGCAAGCTTAAGTCTACTTCTTACATTTTTTGTCATGTGATACCTATAAAGTAATATATATGATGTAGAAAACATCTCTGCAATTGAATTCATTAGTATAGTATTATGATCGGTGACAATGACTGTTGGTATGTTTTCTTGGTCCTTCAACATAATCTGACACATTTCTAAAATCTAAGTAACATTGTCCTCTTTTTCACTTTCCAAAAATGCAAACCCAACTGAAAAAGTCATCTCCATAGAAGTAACACCAATAATTTCCAAAAATGGAAGTCTGCAGTTGTTGGTCTTATATGTTCAATCAATAATGAGTACAATGGGGGATGTATTGAATAACTTGATGGAACCAGGATGACTTCAAAATATATCTCGAATGGTTTCTCCATCCTCGAACACTTTGTACCTGGATATATAATGATTATCCTTCAAAAGCTTCAACAATCATTACATTTCAGTTCTTGGACCTCTTATTGTCTTGTTGTTTTAGGAAAGAACATTGTACACTTGCTTGATATTTGAGACATTTTGAAGTCTTTTCCGTTTCAAAGTTGCAAGTATATTTTTGGGATGTGTCATGTTTAATGTCATATTAAAAACAAGTTTCTTCTCTCCAGGATTAAGACGATACACAATGGGATGATCAGCTAACTTGTAACACTTGTCATGATTATGTATACCATAAATTACAATAAATCTCCCTATATTACTCGCCATAAGATACTCATGCAACTTAAAAAGACACTAACATCTTTTCGAACCGTTGTCATCTCGTTTCAACTTCTGGATATGTTTTGTGTATTTGCCACTTCTTTCGAATATCAAATGCACGTCTTCTATCATAATCAATATCTGACCTCCCGATTATGACGTCGAACCTCAATTTGGCAGCCTCCATGTGGATCCATTAGAGCATATATTCACAAACAACAAAATCATGTTCATTTGTAAATTTTTTACCAACATATATCTTGACATCAATTGGTTTAACATATGTAGACATAATAGCTTTGGGGTCAACATCAAGGGGAACCACATCTAAGACCAATCATGACAGAAAAAAATACAAACTCACCAAATGAAATATTGAACTAATCCGAAAATATATTTCCGTATCATTCAACAACAAACCCGAAAATACAATTCTAGATATAACATTCATTTTTTCAGACCAAAAAACAAAATCTAGCAAGTAATGAGGAAGGAAATTCATGCACATTATCTTACATTCCAACTTCTTTTGCTCCTTTTGATGTACAAAAATAAAGAAATGTTGTTTTGAAGTAGAAAAGTCAATTGAGTGTGGAATGAGGTTTGGTAGGGTTTAAAGAAGAAATGGTGGCATGATCAGGAGTGAAGCAAACCTGCAAGGTGGTGTATTATTAATTTTCCCGATTGATAAATCTGAAACTACACTTCTCGATTTGTCACTAAGTTGTGAAATAAACAAAATCATTGTATGGTGAGTCTGGAAATATACTTCAAGACTTGTTTTTAGAAAAATGAGAGTGTGTCTCTCTTAGAACGTATTTTGGTGTGAAATAGGTGTGTCCGGAGATGTACTTAGAAAATTTGAAGGACATTTTTTAATTTTCAAAGGGTGACTCTTCACTATTAAAGATGGGAGGAGCAACTCCAATACCTTTGAGATAAATCATTTGTAACTTTTTTTATGGCAACGATACTTTCAAAACTTTAGTTTATTGTATTTTGTTATCCGAAAATATTACAGATTTTTTAAGCATATTATCAATTTTACTTTTAAAATTATTTATTATTATTATAAATATTTATTCAATTTTTTATTTAAAATAAAATAAAATCATTGTGGTCATATTTCATATTCATATTACTATTTACTGAATTGGTAAATGATTGCATCCAACTTGGATTATCCAACTATATACATTTTAACGTGTTAGCAATCATATAACACACATAAAATTAAATCACTGTGGACAGATTTCATACTTTCATATTACAATTTACCTAATTATTAAATAATTGCATCCAACTTCGAAGTTTTCAATGTTGTTGTTCATTCATCATCAACTAGTGAAGACTTTCATTATAAGAACAAGCTATAATTTTTTAGGTCAATCAATGGTAGATGATTGAAGGTTGTTTCAGAGAACTTTAATGAGTTTAGAAGAAGACAATGGATAAAAAGGCATTTGACCATTGAGTTATCATTGAATTTTTGGGGTAAGGTTGGTGCTAAAGTAGCTAACCTAGTTAATAGTTGTTATTATAAAAGAATAAACTTCCAAACACTATTGTGGATATTTAGACTAGGAAATTATAATTTACTACTCCCTCTGTCTCATAAAAGTGTCTCATTTACACTTTTTCCATGTCTCAAAATAAATGTCTCTTTAGAATATCAATACAACATTTATTATTTTTTCCACTGCTATACCCATATTTATTAACTTTCACGCTTTTCAATCACTCCACTAACTATAATAAGTAAGTGTCTTTTAGTAAATGATATTACTTTTATCATTAAAATAAACACATCTAGTCATTTTCTTAAGAGTCGCACAAAACTCAAATAAGAAACTTATTATGAGACACAAGGAGTATGTTTTAAAGGTATCAAACATTTGCTTATTGCGTAAATCAAGCTTGTCTAGTTTGATTGTAAGGTTATGAGTTGTATATTCAGTTAATATCTAGATGGTGGGAAGGCTATGAGTTGCCGAAAGTTGATCCTCTAGTTCATCATTCACATATGTATTTACTTTCAGTGAGTCTCGTTGGGGGAGGAAGAGGAAAAACTTAAAGATGACAATTTTAGAAACCATGGAGGAGAAGACTCAATTTGAGTTTGAGGTTCTAATTATGGATACTAGTAAGAGTAACATCACAATTATAGAGGTCCCTTATTATCATTTGACATGTGATAAGGTAAAGAGATAGATTGTATCATTTCAAAGGTGCAATTATGCTGATCTTGGATGTTATGTTTTGAATATGTCTGAAAGGTTACAAAAATCTTAAACATAAATCTTTAGGGGGAATTCGAAAGCAGGTGGAGTCAAGACTCAAGTGGGTGCAAGTGGAAATATCAAAGCTCAAGTGTAGCTTGAAGTTGATCAAAGTTGGTTAATGATGATTTAAATTCGAGATAACAATAAGATGGTTGATGAATAAATTAATATTACCATGGTTTAAAGTTAAGGTAAAGAATTCTAGAAATACGCCTTAAAACCTTAAGTGATGAAGAGAGAGAAAAAATGTTTCGACATTGTAAGAAATAAAAACATCAGAAAAGAAAATGGAGGAAAACAAAGGTCAACTCAACCGACAATAGGCGACAGAATTCGACCGTTTAGCAAGGGTGGTTGGTTAACCGAGAAGAAATTTTAGTTCAAGTGGTTCACGAGTATCGAGCTTGGTCATTTCAATTATTAAATATGTACATTAATGAGTTGTGTTTCGGGGTTTTTAAGGATTCATTGTGGTTCAGAAGTTATAAATATTTATATTTGTTATTCTTGTCTTAACAACCTTTAAAAATTTAGAGCTAAAGACAAAGAGAAGGGTTAGGATTCCTATTGGGAAACTTAGAGAGACAATGGTACAAGGTATCTAAGGTAATTATGAAACACCTCTAAACACCAAGGTCTTGTGTGATTAATATATATATATATATATATATATATATATATATATATATATATATATATATATATATATATATATATATATATATATATATATATATATATATATATATATATATATATATATATATATATATATATATATATATATATATATATATATATATATATATATATATATATATATATATATATATATATATAAAGTTGAAGAAAGAATAAGAAACTC